ATATATATATATATATAAGGAGGGAGTAGAAATTCAAATATCCATGCACGATCTATCGAGAGTTTCACATTAGAGAGCAGACTCTTTATTTAACCGACAAATTCATTTATGGAATTCGATGGAGAGGAGAACGATTCGTGAAGAGAAGAAACGTACCTCGTCCACGTTGTCCAGCGCGTGATAGGCCACTTGGTAGCCGTGGAGACCCGAATGGTTCCTGCTTTGCCAGGAAACGAGGACCGAGAACGGTTGGATGTCTTGGATCGCGAGTTTGAGGATCAACGGGGCGGAACAGAACTCGTGAGGATCGAGATCGAGGAAGACCAGGCCCTGCAATTCCGGCGGTTGCTGACACTTTAAAAGACCGTCCTCCACGTCACCGACCCCGACGCCGTTCCTCCCGCGCCCGCGACCGCCACCTACCCCGCTCACCAGCTTTTGGTGATCCCTCAGCCATTCCCACAGCTCTTGCGACTCGCAGCCACAGATCAACGGATTTTCTGCGAATAAACGAGAAACGGGAATCATGTGAATTAAAAGAATAATCGAGAATCAGAAATTTATTTATATACGACTATAAGATTCTTTTTATTTATTCCCGAGCAAACGTTGAGAGGAGTATTAATTGTGCGTGAATATGGAATTTATATGGGCGGAGGCACGTGTCGCAGAATCCTCGGGAAGAGAAACCGAGAATAATCGGAGGAATAATAAGAGGAATCGAGAATAAGTAGTGGAGAGAATCGATCGATCGATCCGAGGCGAGATCGATCCCTGTGCACGTTGGCACACGGTGTGCGCCATTAAATTTGGAAATCTTTCGGGCAGAGAGGAATCAGGGGCGATGGACATTATACAGGGTAAAGGACTAGTTTGCAGACTTGAGAAGAGAGAGGATGAGAGGGAATGGTTGAGCGTGTTTGATTGTTCAGATGTTGAGTATCGATTCGAGACGATTGTACGTGACCAGCGATATGATTGGATTTCCAACACCGGTAAACTCTATTTGGATCGATAGCTTGGACACGTGTAGAATTATATACCCTCTCTCTCTCTCTGACGTTTGGTCGGATAAGTTATAATAATAAATTATAATAAAATATAATAGAACGGAGCGTCGATATTTTTTACGCGCCATCTCTTTCTTTTCTTTTTAACGATCTCATCATTTCAATAAATAAAAGAAGATAAGATGATTTTTGAGCGAAAACAACTTACCTTCGGCGCGTAAACTCCGAATCTGGGTCTCGAGAGGTCTGAACGCGTTCAAGGGTAGGTTCTCCAAGTAATTTCTACTCAGATCCAACAATCTGAGCTTCTTGAGCGGTCTGAACGCCTCGCTGGAGATGGCGTTGATCCAATTACCATAAAGATGAAGCTCGACCAGGCTGACCAAGTTCTTGAACGTCACCTTGCCCACAATCCCGATCTGATTGTACGAGAGGTCCAATATCTGCAAGGACTTCAAGTCCTCCGGAAACTCGTCCAGCTCTTTCAGCAGATTGTGCGTCAGATTCAGGATCCGCAAATGCTCCATCCCTTGTAGCCTCTCTTTGGGCAAGATATCCAAGCTGTTCATTCCCAGATGCAGGGTTAAGAGGTTGGGCAAGCTTCTGAACGCACCCGGGGACACCCTCGATACGCTGTTCTGGCTCAGATACAAATGCAATAGGGCGGGGAACGCCTCGAAATCCTGAGACGTTACTATACTCAGATTCGTGCCCGATATGTGCACTTCTTGGAGGACGGGGTATTTCGCCTCCGAGGGGAGGACGTGAATCCTGTTCAACGGATTTCTAGTCAAATTTAACCAAGTCAGCCCGGGAAGATTCTGGCCGGACAACGCAACGGACGGGATTTGCCTGAATTTGTTCTCGGACAGGTCCACTTTGCGAAGCATGGAAGAATGGGCGAAGAAGTTGGCAGGGAGCGCGTTCAGATGGTTGTGGCTGAGATCGACGGAGATGAGGCAAGAGAGGTTGGCCGTTGCGAAGCCGGACATGGTCTCGATCCGATTGTGGCTGAGGTCCAATTCTCTCAGGTGTTTAAGACTGGCGAAACTGGCCACGTCCACGTTCACGATTTGATTATTGGACAACGTGAGGATCTCGAGGTTAAGGGCATTGGCAAGGGCCGAATACGGTATATCCTGGAACCGATTGTAATCGAGACGGATCTCTCTGAGGGAAGCCAGCTTGTCGAAGATGCCAGGCGGCAAATTGCGTAGATCGTTTTTGTTCAGATGCAACCGTGCCAAGTTCCGATTCAACACGAATATAACCTCGGGTAATTGAGAGATATGCGCTTTGTCCAGATACAATTCCTGGAGAGACGGTAACCCGTTCAAGCTGCGCTCCGATATTTGACTGAAGTTGTTCCCGGATGCGGCCAACGTTCGAAGACCCGACACGCGAAGATTCAACAACGCGGAAACTGTCAAGTGATTGCCGTCCAGATTCAGATCGGATAAATTGTCGAGCCCTTTGAAAGCTCCGTCCTCTATGCTCACGATGGAACAATTCTTTAAATTCAGTGTCTTGATCGGCAAACCCTCTTGAAAGATGGCGTCGTGAAGGACGGTGAGATGATTGTTGGCGAGATCCAGTACCTTCAACTTCTTCAAAGCGGTCAGGGCGTACGGATCCAACCGTTTTAGACCGTTGTCCTGCAAATACAATTCTTCCAATTCGTGCAACTCGGAGAACGTCCT